TGCTGAATGACTTTTTTTTAGAAAGAAAAAAAATCAATTGGATTTGAAAATTGCTCTCATTTTTCTAAACTATGAATTAATCTTATTGGCGAAAAACTTCATTCCATGGATTGGCTGTAGACTTTCAGTCTGCATGATAAAATTCTGTATGGCAGTTACAAGACTTTAAGAAACAGCTGATGGGAGTAGAAGAATTTTATGATGAGGATAGTAGTAAATATACCAGTTAATAGGCACTACCTTCACCAGTTTCTGGATCAATGAATAGGAACCATCACCTCTGAGGGACGATGCGGTATTTGGCTGGATGGTTTTACTCCCCCATTCTGGGCTAGGATTCAGTGTTAGCCAGTAATGCATGACCGATTTGAACAATATTTCACAAGTGAGAGATGTCAGGCCCTTGAAGTCAATCACAGCAATTTACATCAGTTCAGGACACAGCCCATACAGAGCAGAGGTAGCCTGGCCTGGGTACTTCACTACTGAATCACATTTAAAGAATCTCCCAAGGAGAGAAGCCACAATGTTTTAGAGAGGCGACACCAAAGACATAGGCATTACACACACCAGGTAGTCCCCACATGTCAGCCGAGTAGAAGTAACCAACCCTAAATACGTTATTAGCCTTTGGCAGCTGTAGAATATATTAAGCCTCTACAGTGAAATTTTAAACTAGTGCATTCAAGCTCATTCCTGCCTCAAACTGAGCCTCTGAACAATTAGTGACCACAGCTCAGCTGAATCACGGTAACTTTTAAAGCTAAAGTCTCTTTGATCAGTATAATGATGCTAGTTATTCACACCCTAATAGATAGGAACACAGCATATGCCCTTGAAATTGTGACTTTCTGCATATTTATTACCAGGAGCTGTTATAATTTGGAAGTGTAGTCGCTTGGAAACTGAGGAAAGTGCAATTTGCACACACCCTGTTCCCCACAGGTATAAAAGGCAAGCATTAACTGCTTTACTCCCCCCGACAGAAGACACAGAAGCAAGTGTGCCTATATATACACTGCTGAAGTTACTACCAGCACAGACAGCCATTTGTATAAGGAGCTTGGGGTGGTGCCCAACAGACTGGAAGGTGGTGTTACACAATAAGTATTCAGAGTGGCAATGACTGAACTGAGTACAAGTCTTGGGAAAAAGAATATTAGTATTTATAAGTAATGGCTTTCCTAAAAAGAAAAAAGTAATTCTAAATGAATCATTGTCTTGCTGGTTAATATTTTTCTACCTAAGATAATATTTAGTTACATTTTGAAGTTATCTACTGCAGACAATTTTTTTAAAAATATATATCTTGAAGCTAGTTTTAAAAGGCACTCAGGAAACAGCAATAGAATAAAATTTAAATAGTTGTTCTGTTAATAGGAAACAAAAGCTAAAGTGTTAGTTTAATTTTTAGTTAGTTAATGAAAATAAATTTGCTTCTTTAACAAATGCTAACCTTAGAAGACCTAGAAAAGTCTACTTGAGGCCAATTCTAATCTCTCATACAGCTCTCCATGTAGGAAGAAGTTACTTATTGCATTACAATATGAACTGAATATCCCAGCCTGAAATTTAGTCTTTTATTCTGTTACATTAGTATTTTGGTGGTACAACTCCTTTGAAATACTGATTTTGATTTGTAAGTGTTTCAATAATTTCCTGTTTAAGTTCTCCTTTCCATTTTTTGACTAATATTAAAACTTAATTTTAGAATAAGTAGTTCTGTTTTGTTCTGATACATTTTTGTAGAAAGGATAACTAGCAATTTTAGCTGTCATTTTCTTTCTCTCCTATTCTGTAGCTTTTACTTTCTGCCTCACAAGGCACTTCAGTTATTATTCTATTTTGTTTTAAAATGAAACAATGCTTAGACATCCCTTGAGGTTTTTATTGACAGCTGTAAGAAGAGAGCTCTGTATTGCCTGGAATCCCTTCCCCCAGGTAAATTAGCCAACTTTAAAAAGAAACTAGGAAATAGAGTAGAAGTTGCTCTCATTGCAACATTGTATTTCTTGTGAAATTACACAAAAAGATGAAAGCTCTGTCATTGCAGCAGAGTCACAGCAGCTGTTTGCTGTTGTAGGGCATCTGCAGTTGGCTTGTGCACATTGTGCCTCAGCTGACTGTAGTGCAAAACATGCAGGAGTTCTACAATATCGCCAGCACTGTTCAAAGATAAATATTTGTTTGAATTCCTGTTGAAATTATAATCTCCCAGGGAAGCGGCAATAAACAATGGAAAAGACACTATAAATCCCTTACTTAACCATATTTTCAGTATATTTGCCACATACACTTTTCCTGAGACAAAGTTTTCTCTGGACTATTTTGGATGCTAGTAACATTAACAGAAGTAACTTTTTCACAGGAGAGATAATTGCAATAAGTGCTTCACTGTCTTCTGAAGTCAAAATAATTGCCCATCCAGGAAATGAGGTCTTGCACACTTCTCTAAATACCATCAGGTTTCATAAACAAATGCTGTTACTTCCCCAACAGACAAAGGACCCTGGTTCATGTTTGACATTGCTCACCATAGAGGAGCCATTCATCTGAGTACAGAGCCAAAGCAGACAATTTCTAAAGACTTTGGTATCTAAAGTTAGATTATTAAATCCCCGTTTGGATGCAAAAAGGAGCCGGCCTATTTTGAAAGAGAAACAGAAGATATTTCCAATGAGATTGGAATGTTACCTGAAAAGTAAGACATATACTAAGTAACATAGGTACACTGTCAAGACTAAAGCCCGGTATGTGAAGGGATATCATCCTGCTGAGAGAGAAGGCTGGAAACCTTGTTTGTGAGTCTTTTTATTGATTGTCGCAAGAGTTAATTTAACTTACATGGCCTTTCTAGGCTTTCATCATCTCCTATCTGTAAAGCAGCAATTAGATTTTTCTTAATAAATCAGTCTCAGATGTGTTGAGTATTAGTGAGAGACAGTAGTGGCAGTAGTATTACTGCTAGGACAATGATTATCAGCCTGGATCTGGGCCAGATTTCCTGTAGTGGAAGCTGCTATTTAGGGGTTATACATGCCAAATGCCTTTGGCATTTATGCCTTGACAAATTTTCCTTTTTTGTTTTAGAGGAAAAGATTCTGTGAAACACTTCCATGTTGAACATACAGGAACTTCATTCAAATTTGGATTTAATGAATTTTCTAGCTTGAAGGAATTAGTCATGCATTTTGCAAATCAGCCTTTAATTGGAAGCGAAACAGGTAAGAGACCCATATGTTCATATGAACATGTTTGTGGTCATGCTTCACACAGATCTGAGTAAAAGGAGCCTCCGATGCGTTATCGGGTAGATCTACTGCTGAAGTGTTCCTCTTCAGAAATTCATGTTTGTATTAACCTCAAGTACCTAAGATGTTCCTCTTCAGAAACTCTCACAAGTACTTTGAAGACAAACTACATGTAAGCTTACTGGGTTTTTGCTAACCTGGGCCATGAACTCCTTTGTTTTCTCAGGTGAAAAAAGCATTTCAAAACGTGCACGTACTGGGAGGAGCAGAACTGTCTCAAAAAGGCCAAAACCAAAGCAGAGTGTTTAGTGAGGAAATATATATTCATCTATGAAGTTGAAATCCCTCAATAAGAACAAATGGAAAAGGGACTTGAAATTGTTAAGCTTTACTTCCTTGGATGAAGAACAGAAGTCTACAGTGACATGTTCCTCTTTCCTGTAGGGCACGTGTCCTGTATTACGTCCCCCTTTCTCTCTACAGTGGATCAGCCTGCTGATGCCATCACATTAATTTGTCTTGTTTTTAAGAAAAAGAATGAGAAAAATACAGGCTTCTCTAGCAGCATGCTACTTGAATTAAGAGTCAAAAGATTGACCTTGATTCCTACAGGAGAGTTGACCACCACCAGACTGGAATCCCAGGAGAAACAGATGCATATTATCATGATAATGACAGTTTTAGGTTTAGCTTTAAATCTAAGAGTCGAAGATGTGTCAATACAAGTTAGTGCTAGAAACTTCAGCATCCTGTGTAGAAAGTGTATGCAAATAACAGAGTAGTACTAATTATATATGCAAACAACCAGTTAAATAATAGTTGGCACATGCAATAACAGTAGCATGTGACACACTAAATACACACCAGTGCTCTTGTAACACAGGCATTAAATTTGAGGGTTGCTTTGAAATATTCCCCCCCCCCCCCCCCCCCCGAAAAATGCAGTGGTACACTCAGTATGGCACTTGTATCTTTCAAAGCATTATTCTTTTTAAGTTGCTTTAAAGAATGTTTTGAACACAGAGTTCCTACATGTATCTTTTGTGCCAGTAAGCTATTTTTCCTGTGAAATCAGACATGCACCCACAGGCCTAATGCTGGAAAGATTTCAGTTGACATAAAACTTGTATTTCCCCATTCCTTCACTGCATGTGTTACAGACATGGGTAACCAAGGCACTGGTGTTATATGATCTCTGTGGACAGGATCAACACTGCTGAATGATGGGCTCACTTGTCGCCTTAAAGCTCCCTAATCAGATTCTGCTGGCTCTGTGAAACCTCTTTAAGTTGGATGCGCTACAGAATAAGAAAAGCCATTTGAACATCACATCAAGAAACCTTCCACCTTACCTCACCACAGATATCAGTAGAGTGGAAGAGACAGTTAGCACTCAGGCAATGTTCCTTCAGATACAGGTGTGAAAAGTCTCCTGAGTGGTAACTGATTTATACCAAAAAGTGGGTAGAGGCTCATCAGAGCCCACTCTAAGCCAAGTGTCAGCATAGGAGAATGACCAGCACCACAGGGTCGCACAGCAAGTTGGTAGAAGGGCCAGCAACATCAGCAGGGCCAATTTCTTAGGACACACTTCCTTTCAGGGAAAAGCAGCAAGCGACCTTTGGCTCAGGCATTAGTACAAAGTAGTTGGACCAGTTTTTCTTATTCCTTGTTATAAACAATCTTCTGTAGAAACACTGAGGTCAGGAAGGAGAGAGCAAGACAGCACAATAGCATTTTTCATCTCCTCCTTGCTTAGGGACAGGGTAAGACAGAGACCCATGAGACAGAATATGTAATGGTTTCCACTATCTTCCATGTAAATTTTGTCTCACTGGAGCTAGCTTTGTGTCTGAAGAGGCACACTAGACTCTTTGATCAGTACTTGAACACACAGGCCTGCACCCCTGCAAACTGGTCTACGGAACACAGTGGTTCTTTCATACTGTGACAGCTGCAGGTTTTTGCTTCAGGCCCAACAAACCATGTCTTCCTACAGCTTTGCCACTCCAAATTGCTACATGGGCTCATATCTATTTTTCTGCAGTATAACATGTACACTTCTTCCTTCTGAACTACAGATAATTAAAAGGAAATTGGGGCTACTGTGTTCTGGGAGATTGTTTATTGAACAGGCAAGCTGAATCTCTTCAGTAACAATGTTAAGGCAATATACTATTATATTTCTATATTTAAGGAGATTCTTCACTATTGTGAACAGCATAATAGATTCATTATCAAGAATGCAGCTTTCTGCAGAGAACATGCAATAAACATGACCTTATTTGGAAAGCAAAGAAAGGCTATAATCAAAGTGTTACTTACTGGAAAGAACTATGGTAAAATAGTTAAAGGCAATGGTAATGTGGGCATACTGTTGGGAAGACTGTATCCAAAGCTTTGACAGATGAAGTGATTTACCTAGCAAACAGTGGGTCATTGACAAAACCAGGATGACTGTTATGGCCTCATATCTACTGTAGCATCCTGCCTACCCCCACCCAGCAGCCTCCTGCATGGGAAGGGAATTTAGTGTGTTAAGGGATTCCCTGCAAGCACTAGTAAGTTTAAAGGTTTTAAAAAGGCACTATATTTACAATTTTCATAGTTGCATGTGTCTGGTGTGCACAACACATGCATCAGGTGTGATAATGTTTGTAGTCACATCTTCATGAATGCAGTCAAAAAGATGCCCCCGAATGGTAGAAAGTCACAAGTCAAGCCTCGATCAGATGTAGGTCAGCATTTCAGCTGTAAGTGTTAGTAGCTACGAAATCTGTGTTTCAATTTATTCTGTATTACCTAGTTACTCCCTGACAGGAAAGCAGGTTCAAACAGGATAGGAAACCCCTGCCTTTGAGGGTTGTCTGATAGTCCTGTTTTGTTGCTGTCTTGTTTTTTTGCCACTTAACATGCACTGCAAAAGGGGTTTAATTACCTATTGCTTGGAAGAAGTGAAGAGGGTTTTTACTTTTGTTTCAGAGATACAAGAACAAATTGACTCCCACTGTACAGGGATAAGGGAATGGAATTAGGCAAGATCCAAGTGCCCAAGGCATTGAGGACTCTGAGCAACACAATAGAGCCAAGGAAGTGAGACTGGGCAAACGAATCCAAGAGCAAGTGTCCCTCTGTAGTTTGCATGGGTGGATTTTTGTAGAAAATACCCTTCACAAAGTGTAAACTATTCAGATGATGCACATTAGAAATATTTGTCTAGTTTTATCAGTATGGGAGAGTCATTTATAGCATCTGATTGTTTTCTGACGTGGATGTAGCCAGAGTCCTTCCCCCTTCCAAGGAAAACCCCTTACAGGGAGTGTCACAGAGAACTTGGGGAGCTTATTATCTTTTCCTAAAATCAAAGGGGTATAAAAGCTAAAATTAATAATTCTAAAAACAGGCAGCTACTGCCAATTATTTTCTAAAACTGTCTTTCCAGATGACTTACTCCTGCTCTTTTTCTGTCCAGGAACATTAATTGTATTGAAGCATCCCTACCCACGGGAAGTGGAAGAACCTTCCATTTATGAGTCTGTCCGAGTTCACACGGCAATGCAGACAGGAAGGACAGAAAGCGATCTTGTCCCAAATGCTCCCTCAGTGAGTTATGTTCTGGTGCAAGGGGTGCTTCTCCTGATTCGAGTTTTAGTATGACTGTTGGAGTGAACTATGTAATAACACCAGTAATTCATCACTCTATGGGTTGTAAATGCAGGAAGTCTTTGCTGAGCAAGACAAAACAAACACAGACTTGCTAGGTAGTCCCCTGACAAATAAAGCATTTCACAATCGTGGTCACTGAGACCTTCAATGCCCTCACAGGGAAAACATTGTCTGCAGCTAACCTGCCTGACCCTCCAAAGAAAGAATATATAAAAGGTTTTCATTCTCCCGTTATCTTCCTTTTAGAGTGAGATCTTAGCAGTAAGATTATCGAAAAAACCCAAACACACCACAGAAAACATGCACAACACTTCTCACATTTTCTGATGACGCTCATTAGGCCATATGCAACAATACCTATGTCAGGTTGCACAGTAAGCCCTTGTTTTGCCAAACATCCTTTACAGCCAGTGGGAAGTCTCTTCCCCTACCCCCCCCAGGTGAGGGGAGGAATACACTAAATAGCAAAACAGTAAAAGCTACAGGATTTACCACATTTTGTCTCACTTTGTGATTACGAGGATCAGATGACAGGAAACAGTAGTCCTGGCAGACATAAACTTATTTTTGCAATTGTCTTTGTTTGTTTGAATTATTTTGCCCAGTTAGCAGCATACAGCCTCCTTCCTAACTGGGAGGAGGGAAATAACATCTCTGACTTTCTAGGTCAGTTAAAAAGTGACCTCTTAAAAAAAAAAAACCTATTCAAAGATGTGGAAGACCAGCAGGGACACATTTAGAAAAGGAAACCCCAGATTGAAGTGTGGTACAACCAAGTTAATAATATCTGTATCCTGATAGGCACATTACTCAGAAGGTTTTTTTGGCATTTCTGCACTTGGATTTTTTTATTTTAGAATCACCTTGTCTTAAGGCAGGAAGACAGCTTGCTGTATTCTGACACAGCCTTAAACCCAAAACAGAACGATAAGACAGAAGAGCCTCCACCCTTTCGGCCCTAGTAATTTTGAGCACAGTAAGAAGTTGTGTCATGTTAAAAGCTACACCTTACTAGCATGAGAAACAAGAGAACATCTTCATATCCATTTGGACCACCTGCTGTGACATCTGTGACTCACTCAGAGAGTAATTAGAGACTTTAAATCCCCAGTAACTCATATCTAAGCAAGACAGGTGGTTTGTCTAGAACAGCGTTGCTCAGAACGGAGAGGAAAGTTTTTAATGACATACTATATTTTTTGTAGAAAACCATGAAGAGTTACATTAATATGGCTTAATGAAGTTGATAAAAGAACTACTTCTGATGTCTCTCACAACAACCCCTTCATGGCTGAGTTCCACTTTAACCTCCAAAGGAACTTGACTTCCACATACAACCAATAAAAAGGCAGTATTTTTGCCAAAGCAAGTAGTAATTAACTTAGCAAGAATTTGGTTTTCAGAGTTCAGTAGTCTCACAGTTAGAGCTCCACCACAAAGTTTCAGTGAGTATATTGAGAAATCATAAGGTCCTGGTATCACTCACAGTGACAGAGAAACAGTTCAACAAACAATTTCTCAGGAAGCACATTGAACGCAACAGGTTTTTCCTCTTGAACATATGGCTACTTGAGAGAAGAGCATGTCTAAGTAAAACAGCAGTCCCCTTGCGCCCTTACATTTCAGGATTGATTTCTGTGGGTAATTCCACTGTCAGGTAAACCCCAGGCGCTTCCGTTTACAACATGCACTGAGACAACCAACTGACTTTACTAAATAAACTGTAACTGCAGGTACTTTGCTGTGTTTGGTTAAGAAGATGCAGGCCAGAAGCTTGCTGAGGGAGGCACAGTCTAAGAGACTGCCTTCAGCACTGGCACAAGTCTGTGTTTACCCTAGTGGTGGATCCAGCTGTGTGAGGGGAGCTCAGGGGTGAGGACAAGGTTTATGGCCAGCGGAAGTTTCCCTGAAAACAGGCTGCTCTTTCATCTTAGGGGTATAGGGAAAGATGTGGGAAATAGAAGCAGAGCTCAGTCACTAACCCCGATCCCTTTTCTTGTTACTTCACAGCTCGGTACAAAAGAAGGTTATTTGATAAAACAAGGCAAAATAGTCAAGGTAAGGAAAACTCTTACTCCTTACTTCCACTCTGCAGTCATCCACAGAAACTAGAGACAATGCGGAGCTGAAAGAGCTCCACCTTCATTCCCCTGCAGAGAGGAACAATTTGTGTTTTGAGCAGCAACAAAGCACAACTGTAACCCAGAGCAAGTCAACAGCTTTAAAGGTTTTTCTTTCTAAAGAAGCATTACACTAAACTCTTACAAGACAGTTACCATCCGTTCTTGATCTTTCAGAATTGGAAGACAAGGTGGTTTACACTGCATAGGAATGAACTTAAATATTTCAAAGACCAGACAGTAAGTAGCAATCACCAGTTCTACTCTTTAAGCCTCTACAGAGGCAGCCTCTTCATCTCTCTGGCTTCTCACATCTCTGTCACAGCTTCCCAGGCTAAAGCTTCCTATACTGTTACAGGGGTCAGACCTTTCTAATAGAGTCAGAGTTTTGCTGCTGACTTCAACAGGAGGAAGTTAAGTTTTACAGCTAAAAAACATTTACTGTGCTCTGTCAGTCTTACCTATTAGACAGAGTTGTTGTTTACTGTGCATTTTTTGGATTTTAAGCTACCAGCACAGTACAGCTTTTATTGGTAGCTTTGACACACAACCCAACAGACAGCAGTGCTATTATAATATTTCTGCAAATACTAGTAGTATATTTTGCATTCCTTGATTCACTGGAACAGGTTGCCCAGAGAGGCTGTTGAGGCCCCATCCCTGGAGGTGTTCAAGGCCAGGCTGGACGTGGCCTTGGGCAGCCTGGTCTAGTGGGAGGTGTGCTGCCCATGGCAGGGGGGTTGGAACGCAATGATCTTTAAAGGTCCTTTCCAACCTAAACCATTCTATGATTCTGTGATTTCATTCTTTTATTTCAAGTGGTCACACAGTATACATAGAAACCCATTGATTTAAAAATGTCTTCCTTCCTAGCACTCTGCCATCAATTAACCTGCTGCATCTGGGAAAAACAGTTTGTCCTTACAGTTGCTGTTCCATTTCTATCTTAAACTGAGTAAAAACAAGAAACACCTCTAGAGTTTCTCCACCCTTTGCAATACCTCCAGTTCAGGGTCCTCCATAAACACAGCCAAACTGTCTACCACTGCACGTCTGCCAAGCCCCATTTCAAGTATCCAACAGGTTTTAACACAACAGCACACACAATTGCCCTTTCTTACCAAACATTACCATTTTATAAACAGTTAAGTATTTGTATGGCCTTCCATCAGTTTTCTTTTCACTTCAAGCCAACTTGAATTAAGTTTCCAGGATAACATTTCAACAGGCAGCACTCCAAACATTTGAGCAGCATCTGTGACTTACCAGGTGAGAAGGTGTCTTTGTCAGGAGCACGGCCCCTGCCCAGGCAGCACCTTTGGCAGCTCACATTTTAGGGAGAGGTGTTGTAGGTGTACACAGACAGTCTACATCCCTGTGCCTCAGCACTCCTGGACCCATCCCGGGAGAGTTAGCTACATACACATTGCTTGTAAAGCAAGCCTCATCACTCCTACAACAAACACTACTTCAGCTCTGCTTCTGTATTTCTCCCTACCCAGCTTCATCCTTTTAAAGCTCTTAGGAGTTAATTAAATCTCCAACAGCTGGCTAGGCCTGATAAGACCTATAACCATCCCCTTATCTCTGTAAACCTTGGCTGGAAATTATACTGGATTTGCTGCTGTGTCAGTTACATTATAATGCATTTAGCAAACCCTCAGCAGTCTGCATCTAGCTCAAACTTTCCTGCAGTAGAGGTCTCCTCTGTTGTTTGTCTAGATCTGAACTGACTGTCCTGGTGTTTTATATTTCGCTCAATTCATCTCACATGAGCACTGATACTACGTTTGCTAGTTTGGGTTTACGGTGTTACAGCTATTGTACTTAGGCCTGGAAAAACCTCGTGTGCCTGTAAAGGTCTAGATGCGTTGCAGATGAACAGAGCTAGCATTATTTTCTGTTTCCGTATGTTCCTATTTTAAAACCATTTTATTTTCAAGGCCACAGAACCGATTCGGGCACTTGACTTAACTGAATGCTCAGCCGTGCAATTTGACTATTCCCAGGAAAGAGTCAATTGTTTCTGGTAAGTTGCTGTGCTTTCTCCACCTTGCTGGGAAGGTCCAAATAAGCCAGAGAAGTTTGAAACGTAACCACTGCGTGTTGCTGAAAGCTCCGTTGCCAGTTGCAGCCCTGATCTTCCTCTAACTCACGAGTCCATTTCTGTCAGTCCTGCAATGTTTTGCCAAATTACTGCTGGCAAAAGGGTTTTTTCTTGGCAAGGAGGAAGTGTTCAGTGGGTTCAGTTTTAGGAAGAACTACCAGTTGTTCTAGCAATTTAAGAGATAGTTTTAATTGTTTACTTACAGTTTAGTGTTCCCACTAAGGACATACTACCTGTGTGCGAAAACTGGAATAGAAGCTGACGAGTGGATTAAAATACTGCGATGGAAACTGGTAAGTTGGTGTGCAGTGTTACATGGCCGTACACCGCAGGCAGCATATGGTGCTGCCATCATAACCCCCCCTGGTTTTGTAGCCCCCAAGTGCTACAGTTCTCTGCAAGAAGGGAGTACTTGTTCTGGCTTCCAGGCCAACTAGACTGCAATATGTAGTTTTTGCATAATGTGGCTGCCTGTAGACCCGCTTTAGTGTTTTGAGGTGCCCTTTTAACACCCATACTCATTATGAAGAAGAAATTACTTCCATCTTAAAGGATGACATGGTGTAGATGGTAAACACTATGGAGCACGAACACAGACCATGTGTATCGGGTCATGAAGGAAGCAATGAGAAGGCAATGTAAAGACTTGAAAATGTTACTTCCTTAAAAATATCAGTATTTGGGTTGATTGTACTCAACCGCATCCACATGCACACGGACAAACAGCAATGGATTGTCTTTCTGTTCTAGTCACAAATACGGAAGCAACTGGAGCAGCGTAACTCCACCCTCAGTTCCTAGCTGCACCACCAATGCTTCTGCTCCGTTGGCAGAGATTGCCGCTTTGCCAAGGGGAAGGCATCGCTTACGAGAGGACAGTTTCACAAGTCTCCATTACTCACAGCGGGCGCGTGTGCGGGTGTGTACCTGCGCACAAACGCTCGCATCCGGCCCTGCGCACAAAGGACCTATACAGCTGAGCGCTCTCGGGCTGTTGAGTCATGCGTGGAGACGGTTGCAAAATCAGAGCGTTGGTTTGATATGCACGGTGGATGTCTGTAGTGCACGCTTAGTTCAAACACCTGTTAACTAATCACAGAAGCAGTGACTTTTTAAAACTTTTGTGGTTATTCAGACGACTCTCGATAATTTATTGTAAGCTCCATCACAACCAACTGTTAGCAGCATATTCTGTAACCTTGAGCCTATTATTTAAAGCCAGTCCTTTCTGGAAACATCAAGAATTTCTTTTGTATTACATGTTTAGGCTCTAAACCAAAAGAAAAATGACAGAGGTAATGACAGACATTTTTGTAAATAGTATCTGTATTACAATCCAGAGAATATCTGAAGGCCCTTTTCAAGGTGATGGAGGAATAACACTTAGTTCTGATAAAATATGGTTTTGTATGGCTTAGATTTATACTGCAGTGATGGCTACAAGTGAACCACTGTTTCTCATGGCGTATATAGGTAATGGTGAGCAGCGTCACGCGAGCAGGCTTGCTTACAGGCTAGGATTATGAAAAACAGGCAGCTGGTGCCCAGCACATGTGTGACAAAGCTGCCACGGGGCCCTAAGGGTGGCTCTGCAGAAGCCTTTGCCTGTGGCAGCCACCAGCATTGCTGTTAGCATTACAAGTTGGGCCCCTTAAAGTCCCCCGTGAAGATGGGCTGGATTTTGTACTTTTTCCTAAAGCAGAGATCTCAAAATGAAGTTTTGTCCAGAACTATCATCTAGAATTAAGCACTGCTTGCTTTGTATTAAACAAGATCAGTAACAGAAAAGCACCACGTACACTAAAAATACAAGTTTAGAAGAACACATAATCTTCTACATAACCCGATATAAATTTCCATCTGCATTTTGGAAGACTCATACAGAGGTAACAGCATTACAGCTCACGACAGAATTGAGAAACAGAAGCCCAGTGCTTTGGTGCTCTAGTCAAGCAGACGTTACATTTTGGAAACGAAGTTTGACACACTGGTGGGTCCCAAGCCCAGCTTGGCCTGACCTCATGGCTGACCCAGCTGCCAGAGCTCCTGTGCAATGCTGCTCCTCCTGGAGGGGTGGGGAGGGCCATCTCCCTGCCTGATGATCATGTTTCTGCTGAAACAGTGTACACAAATCTCTCCCACTGTGCAAGTGCTGTGCAAGTGCTGCCGCACAGGGCTTGGTATTGCTCACACAGCAGCTCAGCGTTCAATAGGTGCCTTTACTGCGAGAAGTCTGAAGAAGAGGAGTGAAAACACATACCAGAAGAAAGAAAGTCTAGATTTGGACATAGGAATAGTATTTTATTTCAACTTAGAAATTGAAAATATTTGCAAATATTTTTATACACTCTTTTCTGAATAAAATGTCATTATAAAACTACTGAAGGTCTTCTGTATTCCTGTACTGTATTAAAGCTTTGCCTTCCTTTTTCCCTTAAAGAAGTGGTTTAACTGGCACCTCCCATTTAGTTAAGAAGCTTTGATGAATTTGTGTGAGACGGAGGCAAGCGTTCAGGGAAGAGAGAGCCGATACTCGCCAACAGCATCACTGTTCTCTGAAAACAGCTTGAAGATGAAGTTTGAGGCATAACCACAAAAAGCAGCCTTCCTTTTTTCACATGAACAGGCCATGTTACAAAATGTTAGAAGTGAGTTCAGCACACAGCGCCATGAACTGAAGCCAGTAAAAGAAACGGCACCTGGCTGGCCTGGGAAGCAGTCACAGGCAGGCGAGCTGAGCAGGAGCTAATGGCAGCAGTCGGCCCTCAGTGGAACACGAACGTGTTTTGTTGGAAACACAGAGGGAGACACCTTGGGTCTTGCAGCTGCTTCCGCAATGAGCAGCAACAGAAAGCTCAAGCCGGGAGCTCAGTTTAAATGGAAAAGCGTTGACTGACAACTTTAAATCTCTGGGAGAGCTTTTGAGCCAAGAATTCCCAGCCCTTTCAGCATGTTTCCCCCGTCCTGCCTGATGCTGAAGGTAGGCGAGGTATAAGCAAGGGGGCAGCGGTGGCCTCTTTCCCAGCCTGAGGCAGAGACCTGCCAAGAGTTTGTCCTTCGCCCAGCGTTGCTCGGTTTTAGCGCTGGAAGTCTACACACTGGAGTCATCACAGGGGGAACATGATGGGGAACGGGGTGGGGGGCACACAGCGCAGAATCAATCCCCAGAGATAGGAAGCCAGTTGGCACTAACCTCTACATTGGCACAGGACTCAGTATCTGCATCACCCAATCGAGAGACACTCCAGTTAGCTTTCAGCCTGTAAACTCCTGGATAAATTGCATTTACATGCAATTTAGACACCTGTTCTCTCCACAGAAAAGCTGACGTGCTGTAGAGTATTATGGGGCAACAGAAGAGTGGATCAATCTCTCATTTAAAAATACTGCATTTTATTTATATTTATTTACTTAGGAAAACCTAAGGGTAAATAAGCTGAGAGTGTCACCGGTGATGAACCCACGCAAAGACCATGAGACATGAGATCTTCACAACCATATTACACACAAAACCCAAGAAGTGAGACACTGTTTGGGCGCTTTTTTCTGGGCCTCAGGAAAAACACCTAAAGCAACAGCTTTCACAGAAATAGCTTTCTTCTTAGTGGAAGCAGGATGCAGCTCGCATCCAGATTAGTAGCATTACCTTGCCAAAGTATCACCCACAAAAGAAAGCCAGGATATTTATTGATTGTACCGACACATCACTGCTAGTATGATAACGCTATACACCCAATCTGCTTTCCAATACGCCGTGCTAGCTGGTCTGAGGATATGCCCCACCGCGTACCCGGTTCCCTGTACAGCAAGAGATCTGCAGGTTGCTCATCTGAGCCAACAGCATGATGCTGATAGGGCTCAGCCAGCTGAGCTAAACTCCATGGGAGCTATTTTGGTGGTCTCTCCAGTACTGCACGATACAAGAAGCATGGCCTAAAGTAACATCCACCTACAACACACTAGTAGATCATTTCAGATTCAGTACTATGTACAATTTACTCTTACTTAGTATACTAAGGAGCTGTGGTATTTCTTCGGAGACGTGTTATTTGACTGAGGATTATTGAATCTTTCTGTCCACTGGGCTGCAGAGGGATGCTGCACTCTGGCTATACCACCAGGTTAAGAAACTTCAACAACCTGCCTCAGTTCTTCAAAGAGGGGTGTAAGCTCCTTCTCTAAACTTACAATCAGCCCTGGAAAGAGAGAAGAGAGAGAACATCCCATCAAACGACGTAACTGAGAAGCCTCTCTCCAAACCCCGCAGCTCCTTCCCCTCCCAAGTCACAGGCAGTGTTTTCCAAAACACGAAGCATTTCCCTTGAGCTGCTCGCTCTCCATGGGAATAGCAGACAGTACGCCGAGGGAGGGTGCCGACAGCCCCTGGCACCAACGGCAGCACAGTCACATGCAAGTCACTTAAAAATTTTTTTACACATGCCTTTCCCTTCTCCCCTTCACAATACACTGACAAAATTCACAGCAGGAGCAAAGTTTATATACCTTGAAGTAAATTTGGGTGATTTATTTTCAATTATTTAAACACCTGGGCCTTAAAATACTGCAATATTTAAAATATGTGTGAAGACATACCGGTGTTGGCATTGCTGCTAGCAATGAAACTTACTACCAAAGGTAAGCGATTGAACTGCACCACCTGCAAGGAAAAAGAACAGTGGTCAGCCAGCAGCTAACACATGTTGGATGTCAGAGCTCTGCCGCATAAATTCTTTCCGAAACAAGCGGCCTCCTCAGTTTAAAGGACAAGCAGGAGCAAGAGCCACAGAGCTGACTTTTCAGCGAATCTGTACCATAAGATTCACGGTTAAAAACACCAACAGAACTTACACCACAGTACTGGAAGCTGCATGTGGAAAGCCTGGCGTTTCCCTTCCGTGTTTTGCAGTGTTACCCACCAGAAATCTAACTCAGCTGCAAATGGAGACCATGCTTTCCACGGCTGACAAGAGGGCAGGCAGGTTTATTGTTTTATAATACTATTGCACATACAGCAGTATCTCTTCTTCCATTAATAGCAACTGGCACCCTGAGCACAACAATAAGCTCGGAGCATCAAGAAAATCAAAGCAAGGTACTCAACATGTATAAACTCACTCATTCACCCATTTATTTTCCAAACAAAGCTAGATACTGTAGGCTAAACAGTTGGCCAGTTTACTGCAGTCATAATAAAAAGCTCTCAAGGCCACTAGAACTTGAGAAGGAGCAGAAACCTAGTAGATGATGGATTTCAGGACATAAATAATCGGTTTGTAAAGAATGTGAGCCGTGTTTCAAAGCTTTCTTACCTCAAAGTCATACTGGCAGTAAGATTAGCTACGAAGTTGGCTGCATGTGCTTATTTAACTTTAAGTGTCACTAATTATAAACGTCTTGTTTGTAAAAGAGAACATAAACACTTCATAACGGACTCTGAAGGCTATATGAGCAGCACCTGCTGCAAATTCCCAATTACTACTTGTTCAGAAAATGTGACCATTTTCAACCAGTAAATTTCAGTTTTGAGAAATGTAAGAGAAGCTTAACACATAATGCGAAAGCTTAGCTTAGCCATTTAAGCAGTGTGAGAAATAAAAAACAGACTTCAATAGCAGCCAAGTGGGAATATAGCAGAGTTTAAACAACCCTCTCTCCCTTGCTCAGTGTAACGTAGCAACAGCTCAGATCACTGAGAACAAACCACACCAAGGTTACTCACTTGGTACGTATTGTAATAGCAGATGATACTTTTGTTTTTAGAAAGTCCTAGTTTACTGCCCTGATCTGTGGCAAGGGCAAAGGTGGAGAGAAAGCCAGGTCGCAGTGCATGTTCTGGAGCGTTATCGTTGGCAACTGAAACAAAACAAGAAAATTCTTATCTTTACATGGTACCTCCAACTGCATCACAAGTCCTCATCCAGCTTGCTGCTGTGCCAACAGCAGATCTACTGTTGGGGAACCTGTTAACACATCTTACATGCTTCTGCAATGAGTACAGGATGATAATCACGAGCAGCACATCATTTAATATTCTGTACCTGATCACTGCTCATTACACCAGCATCCCCCCTAGCACACCTAGAAAACAGCTTTTTCCTTTATGACACACAGCCTGTGCTGATGTCATTTTGTTGTGTCCCTCGCTGTTAACAGCGATTCCAGCCTTTTAATTGATTACCAGCACACAGTCACTTGAATGAAAACAGGGGAAGATGCGCATGTTCTGCTAGGTGTTTAAATACTTTGGGACATTAAAAAAAAAAAATATCTGCAGTACCTAATCTTTGTATTCTTAAACTAGTGTACTTACAACATAAGAACATCTTAAACAAGGACTGCAGAGATATGATAAAAACCACAATAGCAAAAAGCAAACTAAATTAGGTCATGTGTGTAAAAGGTAGATGCAATTGCTTTGGAGCACAAACCAGCCAAGTCAACAAAATATCGATAAGCACTCTCTTGTACTTTGCATCAATCAGCCTGCGAATCGCTTGAAGATACAAGGGCCTTACAGCACTCCAACCCTTTTCACTGAGGAAACTTTCTGTGGCGTACAATTATTGAGGACATAAACAAAAGGATAAATTTAAAGAGGTACATAATCAACTACTGAACTTGAAATAAAAGTCTAGTTTCATTCTTCGATTTTGGATATTCAGGTAATGGGCATGACCAGAGAAGATTCTACTGTCCTTTTCCACCCCCTGCTGTTCAATCAGGATTTCGACTGCCGGGCACAGCGAGAAGCTGAAGTTACCTTTGATAACAGGCACACCATCTCTATCTGACACCACAATAGCATGAAGACCTTCAACGCTGCCAAAAAAAAAAAAAAATTAAGAAGAGACACTATTTACAAAACAAAGTAGTTAGTAGCACGTATCTTTTTTTCTGAACAAATGTGCACGGAAGGAAAAAATACAGAAAAAATGGATGCCTTCACTAATTTACTATCTCACAGAAAGGGACTTGTTCTGCTTAGTACAGGCGGTCTCTCGGGGCAATAAAAAGAGAAATACAATATGAAACTACTGAAAACTGCAGGGAACTTTTAGCTTCAGGAAGAGGACTGACTGCTGCTACTGATCCAGTTTCGTTAAGTCGAGCGGGACCCTCTGTACGCCGCCCTCCCTTCACGAGGGCCCCTTTCACCGCACCCGGCGTCACGCTGGAGCCGTTTCACGATGCTGGCAACGGGCAACTACCGAAAAGGGAATTATGAAGGATTAGGCGACCGAGTCACCAGGAATATGTGTGTGTGTGTGTGTGTGTCCCGCCCCAGTCGGACAGGTTTCAGGTAATGGCCTTTGCTTTGGGAAGCGCCCTCACCGCCCGGCCCGCCGCGCCAGTTACCTCGGCAGCTTCTTGTACAGGAACCTCTTCAGGTCCTGGGGGCAGAGACGGGGGACACGTTACTGATCACCCCAGGCACCGAGGGGGGCACCCCGCTCCCCCACAGGCCGCTCCGGGGCGGCTCTTCCTTC